GTTGAGTCAGGTGGTCAAATGAAATTTTATTACACCTCACACTTTTATCGCCAATTTTCGCATACATACGGGTAATTCATCCTCATAAGAAAAATCCCATCTAGGGTCTGTTATTTCTCTTTCAAAGATGTACTGCACTATTTTACATTTGCCATCGCAATTGTCTGGCACCCAATCTAATCCTAACCCCTTGGCAAAAGCATCATATTTTTCTTGAATGCAATAGTCACATAGAATCCATTCCAACAATTCGTCACAACGCTTTTGCCACAAAACACGTTGAGCATTGACTTCTTGGACCGAGGGTTTAACATGCAAGGTTTTGCGTCACCACCAACTGAGCTTACACACCAGGACGCGGGCACAATAATCATGCCAAACAGGAAGCTTGCCATCACTGTGATTTCTACACCAATGTATAAAATCGCTAGGTGACATGACATTCGTGGTACCTATAGGCAGTTCATGGATCTCGTTTAAACCGATGGGAAGGTCCACAGTAGGGATATCCATGGCTTGAAACAGCTCTTTCAGCGGTGGAGTAAGATCTAGCAAACCCACAGCGGGGAAATCGGAGGGAAAATGAGTCTTGTACCATTGTTTGACATCGGCAGCAATAAAATTCTGATCTCGTCCAGATGTGTCGTCAAAGGTTAGGCCATGATCGTACTTCATTTGCTCATCAATACTCATTTGGGTCTCATTGGAAAAAGCAGACAAGTCATGTCCAGGAGAATAAGACAACAAAAGATGATGATATCCATCTTGACGACATAAGCCAATTTCTCGATAGAGAAGAAAATTCATGGTTGATTTTGAAACCGTGACAGAAAGCAACAACTCCAACAGTCTCCGTACTTGGAGAGTGAATGAAGTCTCTGGGTAGAGTCGTGCTATTTAAAAGGAACACGAACGTGACTAGATTCACGTCATCCACCCCAGCGTAAATAAGGTGTTGACGTCATGGCCTAGACTTGCCCGCTCCCCAGGGAGAGATTGACGTCATGACCCAATTCCCTTAGGACCCAAATGCTCAATAAAGTAATGTGTTCAAGTGAAAAAAGTCATTAAGAGCAAATTTCAAGAACCTACCGTTCAGCAATTCTAACGAAGCAGAATTTCTGAACTTCAGAATACCGTGAAGGCTATATTTGGTTCCTCTGATGAGAAGTCCATAACTCGTCCTGACAACCCCAAGATGGCGAATTTGGAAAAACGAATGATTCAACCTCAAGTACTAATTCAAGGAAGCAACTAACGTCCAAAAAACAAGAAAAACAAGAAAACAGTCAGTCCCAAGAAGTGATCGAGGATCCACCGTATGCTGGACATGAACTGCGAGTCATCCCTCCTCAGCCCACAGTGCCCACTAACCTTCTCATGCCTGGCCCGTCATTAGCAGGAAACATAGAAGAGTATCCTAGACCGTCTCTCCCAAGCTATGAAGAGAGGATGCTAGATGACATGTTCAATGGTCCAAGCTCTACGGAAACACAACCTGACCTAGCGCCTGCGAAAGTGTTGGAAGAGGGAGTAGCAGTGACCCAAGATGGTCGAACCGTGGAATGGTGGCCTGTGGAGGAACCAGAGCAAATGGCTAACATGTTGGAGTATTTGGAAGATGAAAACAATCCTCTGCATACCAACTTTGTCCTTCCTAACCAAGGACTAGCCCTGTGTTATACCTGTCCGGTCTTTTTTGGAAGTGTTCAGAGCAAGTAGATTGTGGCGGAAGCCTTGTGTAACGAGATACACAGCAAAATACTCAGTCATTGGGGAACCCTTAGCTGTCGTTGTGGATTAGTGCCCAAATTGCATTTGAGTCAAACACCCAGAAACACGAACAAAGTCTTCTTAGGTTGTCCCAAACCTCGCGAAGCTAGATGTGGGTATTTTCAGTGGATCCATGAGCCCCGCAAACCCAACTATGTACCCAAGACAGCCACCCGAAAAGCCCTAAAGAAACGACAGGCGGACATGGTAAGTGACAGGATGAGCCTGGAGAAAAAGCAGAAAACCGAAGGAGGATTTCAATTTCCTTAAAGCATTGTAAAAACGTGAGTGATTCATTAAAGTTGTTTTTGCTACGTGATTGCATGTTGTTTGTCATGTCTTTCCCTTTCCCTTGGGATGATCATTGACGTCATGACCCAGACTTGCCTGCTCCCTAGGGAGGGGTTGCGTCATAGGGGTTTTGTTAAATACACGGCATGTGTTGAACCATGATCAGTTGTCATCATGAACTTCCACGGGAATGAACCATTAACCACCGAGTTTCTCCTAGTATTTGGGGATCAAGAGAAACCCTGCCCCTCGTATTATAGAAAAGACGAAGATAAGAAAAAAGTCAAAATGGTCCTTCAACAAGAGATTCATCCTGAAGTCCATGCCAAATGGGGTAATCTAATGTGTCACTGCCAAAAGCAGCCCAAGATGCAGTTAAGTAAAACTGCCAAAAATGTCAACAAAGCGTTTCTTACCTGTGGTGGTTCCGCTCAAGACGCTCGTTGCAAGTATTTTCAATGGATCCATACACCGCTGTATCCATTGCCTTCCGATCCCATGCCAGACTGGCTGCGAAAAACCTACAAACCAAGAACCCTCAAATCCTTCACTAAAGAAAATCGAGAGTGGATGAAGCAAGCAGAGCAAAATTTCGAGCAGTGGAAAAAGCGGCAATCCGACCAAGCCTGGTTCAATCAGTTTGCAGAATCTGCCAAACAACAAGAGCAGCAGCGGCAGACCAAACAAAGTGTAAATCCTTGGAGGAAATCCCTGCCTTTCATTGGAGTCCCGAGATAGCGGAGGTAATCAAGAAACGAGATCAATGGGATGACATCAATGCCATGCCCAACAACGAGTTTCAAACCTCCGTGTCGAAGACCTTTGGAAGCTTGCCTCCTAGTGATGCCAGTTTAGCGTCCTACTTGCAAAAGAGAAAAAACCAAGGCAAACACTTATCCCCTGCAGATGAAAAGTATTTGCAAGCCTGTCATCAACAGTGCAAACCCGTCACAGGATTTTGGCCTCAAAATGAAGGGACCCTGGCCCTTTGGTGACTTGCCGGAAAAAGTGTGCAGTTTGGCGTCCTATTGCCGTAAACGAAAACAACAAGGGTTACCGTTAACCCCAGCCCAAGAACGTTTTTTTCAACATTTAGTAGATTTGCACCAAGATGACCTCAACGGAGGTCCTACTATAAGATGTGTTAATTTTATAGAATAAAACACCCTTTAAACTCTTCATATTGTTGTTTGTTCTTTTGTTAGGGTTAGGGTTAGGGTTAGGGTTAGGGGTAAAATGCTAATGATGTTAGGGTTAAACCCTAGTCCCTTGGGGTTAGGGTTAGGGTTAGGGTTATATTTGTGTATGAGGGTATTCCTGTCCCAGAACCCCCATTATCCTCTACTACCATGAGGTTAGGGTTTGGGTTATAAAGCCACACGTTTTACCCTACAGTGTTCATTGTTAGTTTATCATGACAGCTAAGCGCTTGTTAGAAATGATCCAGCCTTGGCATGAATGTAAAGTGGAATTGAATCAACTCCGTGACCTTTTGCAAGCCCACGATAAACAGATTAAGGTCATGAAAGGAGCAATAGCTGCATTACAAACAGATAATGCTCAATTGCGGTACGAGTTGCTCTGTCCAAAGTGTCAAAGATATCTTGATTCAAAACAACCCGGTGATACCATTTTGGCCATACCATGTCCTTCATGTATTGGAACGGAAGGGCATGCCAAAAACTTTTTTGAAGTATAAAGCACAGCCACCTCCTCATAGATATCATTGTTCACCATGGAAGCCTTAGAGTATAGATGTACTATGTGGATTTGTCAAAAACTAGCCCAAGACAGTCCCATTCCAGAAGAGCGCTGTGAACCTATTGCCTTATTTGAGTATATGATGGAGACCCATCACAGTTGGGGTCGTTACGCTATTTACATGACATAGTTGCATCGTCATTTTCCCACTCAGGGGTCTTGGATTTTTCGCTATTTAAAGACACTATTCTTCATTGACGTATTCATTGTCCTATTTGTTAGCACAGTGGTTCATGTATCATGGCTTAAAAACAGTCGAACGTCTATGTCGATCCTTCCCAACCTGGCTCGTTAGGAGGTGTGGCTAAATTTGCCAAAGCCTATGGACTCACTCAATCCAAAGCCCGTCAAGTCTTAAAAACTTTGTTGAGTTACACGTTACACAAGCCCCGACGTCGCCATTTTCCTACCTTACCCGTCATGGTCTCTAAAGTCGATCAACAGTGGGTGATGGATCTGATGGACGACCAGAAATTAGCCAAATGGAATAAAGGTCACCGATACATTTTAACCGTGGTGGATGTCTTGTCCAAATATGCCTGGGTCATTCCCATTAAAAACAAAACCGGTGCGGTGATGGTGCAAGCGTTACAGACGTTATGGAAACAAGCTAGCCCCAGACAACCTCAACGGGTGCAATCAGACGACGGGACAGAGTTCATGAACGCTAAGGTGCAAGCCTTTTTTACAAAACAACAAGTAGACCATTTTTCCACCCAAAGGGGAAACAAAAGCCGCTTTAGCTGAAGTGTTGATTAAAACGTTAAAAACCAAACTGTATCGCTATTTTACTACTGCTGCCAATACCCTCACCTTCCCCTCATCGTGGAGCAATACAATCACACGGTTCATTCCAGCATTCAAGAAAAACCTGCTCATGTGACCCCGGACAATGAATATTTGCTTTGGAATCGATTGTATAAAAGCGGTTACGCAAACGGGCTCGTCCTAAACTGCGTGTGGGAGATAAAGTACGATTAAACAAAAAACATCGGGTGTTTCAAAAAGGGTATTTGCCTGGTTAGACAGAGGAAGTCTTTTTAGTCCATGGGATTTCAACCATCCATTCAGGTGGAAAAAGTGTTAAAACGAAAAGAAAATCAAGTGTTTGTTGCGTGGAAAGGGTGGCCCAAGGAGTATAACAGTTGGATTTGGAAAAAAGACTTGCAAGTACTATGAATGAATTTCGTATCACTCTCATCAATGATCCCACTGATGAATTTCCCAACAAGAAAAATAACAGTTTTAAAGTCCGTTTACCCACCATATTGAATTTACCGGGAGACACTTGGCAAGCGAGTTTATGGAGTGTCTCCGTGGCTGACGAGGGACATAGTCCCACCGTTATTTCCTCTAATCAGGATATAGGGTTAATCAAATATCGTTATACTTTCACCCAACGTTATCAAGCAGCGGATAATTCATGGTTGGTGGACTTTAAAGCCAAAGAAAAAGAGGTGATCTTAAAGGACGTGATGGACAAATCGTGACCGATTTTCCGGTCACCTCAGGTATTCAATTATGGCATAAAATTATCACCCACATGGATCAAACCATGATGAAAGATGTGACGACCACCTCAGTCGCTTGGAAAACAGCCAAAAATGATGCAGCCACTGTGTCCTTAAAATCCACTCAGAAACCCACGTTTGAATGGAAACAAGACACGCTGGTTTTAAAAGCCGTCCCTCCTCAAGATGTCTATGCTCGCGATGCGGCCAATAAAGTGCAACCCTTATTAACCGTTGGGATTCATGTCGACTTTGCTCAAAAGTTTGGCCTCCTTACCAAAGACAAGAACGACAAGTATCAATTAGGGCCCAATTTAGACTATGCATTACCCACCAGCACCTATAATGATACCACACTTCCTCCGAGAACCAATCAAAGGTATCAGTGGTTAGGAGAACACTAACACCCCTAATTTGGTGTGCTAAATTACCCTCCCTTACTCAATAAGTTTCAGTTCTGGCTCCTTCCTTTCGTCATATACATAGAGTGGGCGTACGTCGATTGGCAATTCCTAAACTTAAATGCCTTGTTTTATACACATGTGGGAACCATCAAACACACGGTGATGTTGTATTGCGATGTAGTCGAATCGACCATCGTTGGGGCCCAAAAACATTCATTGTTGAGAAAAGTGGAATTGGAACGTCGGGGTCAGGCCGAGCTACGGTAGAACCCCTTCATCGCGAATGAATTCGACTGCGTAGCAAACGAGTGGAAATCATTGACGTGTTCCTCGCTACACCTCATGGATCCTTGTTGGTCCTACCTGCAGGCAAAACACTCGTGACCCTAGGGTTTCGACGAGTATAAAAGAACCCTCTCCTCTCTGATGACACAATCTTTCATCATGTTGGGTGGGTCACTGACACGATATCATACCCCCACTCTGAGAGAAAAAGGGTTTTCACAAGAGTTAGGCAAATTAGCTGGACCCACATTGCTTCGATCCATTAGACATGGCCTTGACGCGTATGAAAAAGAGGCGTCTGCCGCAGAGACCGTAAAAAGCTCAAGCCAAGTGTTAAAACGAGGTCTGAAACGTAAAATTCCCGTAGCCGTAGGTCTTTATGCCAAAACCAAAGCTAAAGAAAGCTACAAAAAGAAACGACAACGTGTCAAACACATTTTAGGCGTGTAATCATTAGACGTGGACAAAAATCGCAATCGCGTGTGAAACACCAGCGATCGGTGGGTCGTTACAATTCACCCTACCAACGGGGTGGCACTATTTTTTAGCCCCATGAATCCCTGGGCCATGACCTCCTACAAACCTTATGGGGTAGACCCTTTGAGGCTACGTCAATTAAGAAAAAAGGCGAATAGACGCGCTAAACAGAAAGGAGGACGTGTGCACAAAGTCACTTATCCATGGACCACCAAAGGTCGACAGTATAAAAGGCGTCGCAGACGACGTTAAGCCATCACTCTGTCAACATGTTCTTGAATCTTTTCGGCGTCCCAGACATTGACTATCGCTATGAAGCCAAACGATGGGTTCCTTTTAAACCCGCCAATACTGGCAGACGACCTATTCTCTTTACCGTCCCCTCCTCCGACGATTACTATGATCTAAATGAAACCAAGTTGGAAGTGAAAGTACGTATGAATACCACAGGCACAGGAGGTCTTTTTGATGATCAAACAGATGCCTCAGATCGCAATGACACAAAATATGTGTATTGTGTCAACAATTTTGGGCATACCCTCTTTAATCAAATGAATGTGACCTTCAACGGCGTATTGATGACGGAGCAAAGCAATGCCTATCAAAGGAAAGCCTACGTAGAAACAGTGTTGAATTAAAGTCGTGAAGAAGGAAAAACCACCCTGGCTGCTCAAGGATGGGTCAATGAACTGAATGTGCGTGCTTCATTAACCCCTACCAATGCTGGTACTAATGATAAGCCCAATCCCAATGACTGAGATGGAAAAACAGGACTCAAGGCCTTAACCCGCCGTTTGCTAGGCAAAGCGTATCATAACTTTATGATCAAACCTCATGTGTCCGTGTTCAGAACAGGCAAATGTCTTGTGCAAGGGGTTCAAATTGATCTAGAACTCTATGTGAACGACAGTAACATATTTCTCTTTGGAACGCCAGACAAGACCACCTCCGTAGGCAAAAAGATTCCCACCCTAGAAGACAATGACATATTTGTCACTTTGTGGATGAAAAACGTCACTCTCAATGCCTCCGTGGATACCAGACTGCAGAAAGAGCGAAGTCTGGGTAAAACCAAGAAAGTGCAATATCCTGTCGTGCGCAGTGAAATCCGAACGTATTCCTTTCATGGTAACAGCACACAGTGAGCGCAAAACAACGTTTTCGTAAACAGGGTTCCGGGGAAGGTCATTATAGGATTAATGAATTCCACTAATTACCATGGAAGTCTGCAACACTACCCCTTTGTGCTATCAAAAGTTTGGGGTGACCCGAGTCCGACAGACGATTGACGGCTAAGAATACGCGTACAGATCGTTGGAACTTACAGGCAATACTAAAGCAGAATATTTGGTAGGGTATGACCGATTCCTTACTGCCTCTGGGGCCTACAAACATAATAAAATACCTATGATGCGGCCAGGGGATTGGGGACAAGGCAAAAATTTCACCCTGTTCATGTTCAACAATGTTCCAGGCGATGCCGATGACCCTGAGTACAGAAATCTCAGACTCACAGGCAATGTCCGCTATGAAATTGACTTCCGGGCAGCGGTCGGTCAAAACATTACCGTGGACAAGTTACCAACCGTTCCCAAAACGGGAGTCTTGAGTGATGCTTACATTGTCAACACAGACCCCGAAGGTTAACCTGGGAAACATTGGTTAGCCATTTGGACGCAAAACCGAGTGTGTGAAGTGTGATAGTTATGGTTTGCCCTTATCCAATTACAAGAACCTACAGTTACAAGCTTGGTTCAAGCAATGGAAAGAAGTCATTACCAGTGATCATACCCTGCAAGCCAAGGACAGTCAACCTGTGGACATTATGCGCTCTTGTTTTTAAAAGCCAAAGCCAGGAATGAATCCTTTCAAGATTTTTTAGCGCAATGGAACTCGCAAAATTTAGTATTAAATGATCGTCGTGCGGGTGAAAAGATTCAACGTCTAATTAAGACACAGCTGTCTAGAAAAGAATTAAGTTGTAAAAAACCCAATGTAAGAAGTTGCGCCTTTTGCTATTTTTATGATTTGCAATAAATGTGTGTACCCAACTCTGTCTTTCATTCTTAAACATGTTAACGCGTGGGGATGAGCAAAATGCCATAGAGGGATTGGCTTTTACGCAAGCCCATATCTATTTGTTGTACCAATGGTATTGTCATTGTCATTGGCCCTTGGGTACTTTACAAGACTGGATGGAGATTATGACCCTTGCCAGGTGTCATCAATTGTCTGCATTAAACACCTTTCCGTTGGACAAACCAGTCCTTAAAAAGGTGGTGTTTACTACCGTAGCCTTAGTCTCTCCCAGACTGTATCGAGTGTACCTTCAGCATGATTACACGTCAGGATTCCCGTCAAGTCTATGAGGCCTTTGCCAAAGCCAAGGTACTGTATATGAGTAAACATTCGTGGGAGATTTTTGACCAAGACCAATGGGATGGGTCTCATTGAAAGCAAGCGGTTCAGTTAGCTCAACAACAAGCTTGGGAGGCCATGAGACACTCTATTGAATGGATGGGGAAAACCTATTTAAGGGAACACATGCAATTGATTGTTCAATTAGCTTCTCCGCGTTTGTATCAAACACTATGGGACGCAAACGAAGCACTGTGAGGCGAACACGTCGCCAAAGTCAAAAAGGGGGCGCCCGATTTAAAAGAAAACCCCGTCTAGTGGATAAAATTGCCGAAGGTGTGGCTATGGTTTTATCGGGACCCTCTCCCAGTTTTGGTAAAATGGGTGCTTTTTAAGCCAACCAAGTTTTCAAAGGTATAAAAGACAACGTCCGTCATTATCAGAGAGGCAAAGGACTTGGCTCTGTCTTATCCACAGACGCCAAAATTGGGTATAAATTGGGTAAGGACAAAGGCTATAAACGTATAGGTGCAGTGGGAGCGACTGGTCATTACACTCATTTTCGTAAACCTTGAGAAACATGATTCGTCAACCTGCTAGTGTGATTATTGCCCGACCTTCCGGTAGTGGCAAGAGTGAATTGGTCGAAAACCTCTTGAAAGAGAAAAAACTGTTTTATACCCCTCCTAAAAAAATGGTCTACTGTTACGATCGTTGGCAACCTCGCTTTGATCGCATGAAAAAACAATCCAAGGTCATTTTTTACAAAGGTCTTCCTCCTGAAGGAACGTTAGTCAAATGGTTTAAACCTGGACATCATCGGATTCCCATTCTCGATGATCTGATGGAGGAATCTGGCAATAACAAACGCGTGCTGGATTTATTTACCAAAGATTCTCATCATCGTGGTATTACCGCGTTGTATCTAACCCAAGATCTCTTTCCTCCCGGCAAATTTGCCAAAACCATCAACCGCAACATGCATTACGCTATTTGCTTCAAAAGTCCACGGGACAAGACGGGCATCGGTAACTTGCTGCTGAAAGTGTATCCAGACAAATGGCGACGAGTGCTTCAATTATTTTTGAGGTTGACGGCTCGCCCCTTTGGTTATTTTATGTTGGATTTACATCCAGCCTCCGACGATCGTTTTCGCGTATGGAGTCATTTAACCCAACGTGAGGGGAAACCTTAGGTTCATACGTTTGACGAAGATATAAAAGGAGATTCATTCACGAGTGATTCATTAACCATGGTCAAAGGACGACAACGACGGAGAGGGTTGGAAAAAAAGCGCAAACCCGGGGTGGGACTCCCTTCNAAGTGTATCCAGACAAATGGCGACGAGTGCTTCAATTATTTTTGAGGTTGACGGCTCGCCCCTTTGGTTATTTTATGTTGGATTTACATCCAGCCTCCGACGATCGTTTTCGCGTATGGAGTCATTTAACCCAACGTGAGGGGAAACCTTAGGTTCATACGTTTGACGAAGATATAAAAGGAGATTCATTCACGAGTGATTCATTAACCATGGTCAAAGGACGACAACGACGGAGAGGGTTGGAAAAAAAGCGCAAACCCGGGGTGGGACTCCCTTCTTAGCAGCAGCGATCCCCGCCTTAGTGGCTGGAGGGAAAGCGGCAGCCATGGGAGGACTAGGCGCTGCAGCCAATTATAGGACCATGAAAGCTTTACATGCTTTATCCAAACAGAAGTATAAAAGGAAACGCAAACCCCAAAGGAGAACTAAAGCACAATGACGGGACGTATGACACGACAAGGGGCCTTTGTAAAAGATGTCTTAAAGGAAGCCAACCAAAACAAACGTCAACAAAAGCTTCGCTATGCCAATGCAGATCAAATTAATGCTGTGAGTGAATTATTTATGAACACCTTGCGTGGGGCGATTCGTCCTGGCAGAAAAACCGTGCCCAAATTAAAACCCTACAGCAAACAGCTTCGCCTGATTGCAAGTCCCCGTCAGAGTGTAAAAAGAAGACGTAACCTCATGATTCATCAATTAGGAACAGGTGTTTGGAGTGAATTAAACCGTTGTTATCATTGTGCTAAGACCCGCTACCGCTGTTAAGATGAAACAATTCCTGTTCCAACGACTGCTATGTGTGCTAGAAGGTTTGATGACGTTGGTCACCCTGTTGAGAAACCTTCACCAACGCATGAAAGAAAAATATCCCAAGAGGGGGGGTCCAAAAACGTATAAGTATGCCCCTGGGACTTTAATGTTCATTCATTGCTGGCCATGGACGGTATTAGCAGCACGCCTGTGGAAAACTCTGTTCAATTTTTACGGCTTAGGGATAAATATAAATCAGACCTCTTAGATGATAGTCATCTGACTAAAGCAGTGGGTTTAGCGGCCCAACAAGAACTGTTGCTAGAAAGTCCGGCCCCCGATACCTGGAAAGAACCCCGTTTGAAATCCGTGAATGGACAGTTACGACAATGGACCAAGAAAATTCGTCAGCCTGGGGGTATACGCTCTATAGGGCGTGATGATTTAGACGAGGATGACGATGAAAATAATTTAGCAGTGGCTCCCATGCAACAATTCATGGAGAATATTCGGAAAATTCAGAAAAGTATAAAAAGGAAAGACACGACCCCTAACGTTCCACAAACACCCGTGACACCGGCTATTAAACATTCGCTCAGGACTCCGGAAAGCAGAAAAAAAACCAAGTTTTCGTTTAAAACTGGGTCGAAAGGAAAGCGTTTGTTACGGAAGACACCTAAAGGAAAACGTCTGCTTCGTCTACCTACAAGACCCCTGAAAAGTCTTTGGAAGAATTAGCGACAAAATTACCCTTTTCAGACCAGTTACGCGAACCTCCTTGGACAACTCCGGGTTAACTAGCCAGAGACAGTCTCAGAGCCATAAGAAGACGTACACGCAAATCCCAGAGTGAGGAACGAAAAAAAGAAGGTTTAAAACAAACAGTGCTGAAAAAGGCCACCGAAAAAGCTTTGAAAAAGTTAGCCCCAGCCCCTGGGTGGAAACCCTTTGGTACTCCGACTAGACGCAAACTCGATGGCAAAGCCAGGTAAGAGAAAACGTTCAAGACCCCGCAGAAGGAGACAGCGAGGGGGAAATTTGATTTTCAAAAAGCCATTGAGAAAACAGGCATGGAGTTTCATATTCCCTCGTAGCGATTTGCTGGCCCTGGCACGAAACTAGCCAAACGTTTGAAACGCGGAGACAAGCCAAAAAAACAGGTTAGACTCAATTGCCGTGCATCATGACATTGCATATAGCAAAACCAAGAATTTGCAAGATAAATGGAAAGCGGATGACGTCATGATGAAAGCCATTGATCGTTTACCTTGGAAAAAGACCATGACCGAGAAAGTCGTCAAGAAAATCATGCAAGCCAAGAAAAAAACTCAAATTGTGATCTGGGTGTATTTTTTATTTCAATAAACAAAGAGTGTGCACACCAATTTGTTTGTCATTGTTGTTAAAATTGATTGAAATGTAACATGACAACATATTGACTGTCGGACTGAAAGTTGACCAGGGTTTGAGGGAATTGAAACAATCCACCCAATTGTGACATGCGCCTGCTTTCTCTCACTGACGTAAATCGGCCGGACTCAAATAGTCTTTTTTCCACACATCGGATTGACCTGATTTTTCTGCTTCATACCAAAGTTCTATCAAATTGACACTTTAAATAAGTCTTTGAATAAGGACATTTTGGGTAATATGGCAATCGAGACTTTCCACCCTGATTCAGGTAAAAACAAACTGGGGGATAGTTTGACTTTAAACTGATTGGCTTTATTATTCGCATAGTCATTGGTGACATCGCTCAACAGGGTTAAAGACACGTCTGACATGGTGAGACTTCAAACTTCGTCCTTCATTCCCTCCCTGTATTTATACCCTGACCCAACAACAACAATAACATCACACAGAGATTGTATCTCGAACTTAGTTTATTTCTACATTAAACCTCCCTAACGATTTAATGTCACAACTCTTCGAATGGCGCCAACATGCAGACCTATTCCTATGAACAATACTTGTTTACAACTCTAACAACATATCCACTTCGCCTCGAATGCGAACGTATCCATAGGGATAGGACATTCGAGTGGTTCGGTCAATCACTCGCTTATCAAACAATAAGCCATATTGTTTCTCCCTTTCTATCAGACGAATACGTTTGTTGGTTTTGTCCCCAACAAAGAAATTCTTATCGACCAACGTGATGGTTCGCCTTTCCTCTTGAGGGTCATCCAATTCTTTTAAAATGTTATCCCTCAATGCATAAAAGTTTAACAGCAACTTATTTGGGTAATTCAGAGAAAACCCTCTGACTTTACATTCCACTTTCCCTCCCCTGGTAAGATACCCATCATTTTTAGCTCCCCCACTAGCAAATTCTATGATGGGATCTCCGTCCTTTTCGTCTGTAAAATCTCTTGAAAAAACACCCAAGGGAATTTCTACTTGACCGGGGCGCCATTTGTAAATCACGCAATCCGTGTCATAATAAAGGACACGTTGCTGCAGGGTTTCTAAGGCTGAGTACAGGGTCAGGCGAGCATGGGCAGTGGTGTAGACGGCCACAAAGATGTTGGTTTTCAGATTCTGTTCCACTTGTTCCTCTGCACGGGTAGTCACGACCTCCAACACGTTCTCTGAACACACGCGTATGTTGCTGATGTGGTAACTGGGGTCTTTCAAAAGGCTGTACTGGGTACTGGGTTTATTATTTCGTTCGCCAAACTTTCCCCAAAAGCTAGTAAAAAAAAAAACATATTAGAGGTGTTCTTAAATGGCAGACTTTTCCTGCAAATAACAACATTAAAATGCAGACTTTTTCTGCATTGTTTTCATTAATTTCCTTTATATTTTTAGGTCAAAGAGTGTTTGTACTTTCTTTCAACACGGTGTTTCTTAAATGCAGACTTTTCCTGCCACTAACAAGGTTAAAATGCTGACTTTTACTGCATGTTAGGTTATCTAAACATAAACAAATACTCACGAGTTGAGCATCATTTTGGCCACTTGTTTCCTTCCCGGGTTTTTGGCGACGTTTTCAAGGGTGATCCCTTCTCGCTCCTGGTACCGTCTGATGTAATTCTGCTTGTCTTCTGGGGTGCGACAGTCATCTGGCCAGCCCGCTGACTCTTGCTTGATCTTAAGCCAAGTGTTGACATAGTCGGCGAACAGACCAGTTCGTCGATCTTGTTCTTAAAAATGCCACACTTCGTGGATCTTTAAAACACGGTACCCCAGTTCTACAGCTTTTTGGATTTCGATGGTGGCCCATGTACCACGCAGCATTCTTTCGTTATCAGTATGGGTACACATGTTCGTTCTGTCCAGCCATGGTTTTTGCTGCTGAAGTTAAGTCGATTTTGCTGCTGAAGAATGTCGATTTTCGCGATGCCAAAATAATGAGCAATGTCCTGATCTGATGGTGTTGTATAAATGATAGGAAATCTGGCAGGGTATTCTTTGTATTTGTTCACAAATGGGTAAAGAGACGTGACGTCAGCATATTTAATGAGATCTGGCAAGGCAGCATTGCAATGGAGAGACACCGCCCCTGTCCGTCCTCCATAAAAAGCATCTCTTGTGTTGATGGGTTCGACCATTTCCAATTCGTTCAAAAAGGCTTGCAATTCCACATTCGTTTTCACTTCTTGTTTGAAATGACATTCCCATTCTTCTATGACTGTATAACCGGCTTCTCTCAACATGGCGGCTATTTTTAAGGTGGCTTGATAGACTTCTTCCACGGTGCGATCACGATGGCAATTTCTTCTTACATTTCGTTCTTTCTTAAAACAACGCGGACAACCGTGAAAATAGCAACCGTAAAATTCCAATACGGTATTGGTCTGCTGGTCAAACCCTTCCACATAATAACTTTGAGTAGGGGTCAACACCTGGACCTCGCCACCATTCCGCACGTGGCGGACACGCACCATTACACCACGCTGGAAGTCCTGCCAGTACAACCATTCCAGGGCAATGCTGCTTTGATTTATATGGTTACCGTGCCATCCGCCTGAAGGTTCCAAAGCAATTAAGTCTTCTTCCAACTTTTCTTTTCTCCAGAAATGGTTGCAGGCGGAGGCAATGGTAATAGACGTAGCGAGGGGATTAAACCCGGCGATTTCTTCAAATTCTTGGATAAATTTTAAACTTCCTTCCTTGAGCAATTGGACATCCGATTTGAAATAGGCCAACAGTTCCTCTTGGAAATTAAAGATTGCATTTGAGGCTACTTTTTCATTGTACCACGTTTTAAAGGCATCTCGTTTCTTGCTATCGAAGCTATCAGGATCATAAGCAACCATTGGTGGGTACTCGCCAACGTAATTGAAATTTTCTTCATGATTAAAAGCATGAGGAAAATAACCTTTATGTAACTCGGTTAAATGAAATGTGGCTGGAAAGCGTTCCAAAGGCATAGCGAAGAAATTTAATGAATCTTTAAACACCAGATCCCCGGTTCCAAAGTGTAGGATTTTGGCACCTTGGGTCAGCGGTCTCTCCACGGCACGTCCTTGATCGTACAATGTTTCTAAAATGAAGTTTCCGTCAAACCCACGGAGATTATGGAAAAATGTGATCACTTCGCGTTCCCGTTTCGTCGTCTTCTACATGTGTAAGATCTTCTAAAGCCTCCAGGAAGTCGGTCATGGACTCAGTATGATGGATTTCGTCTTCATCTTCGGCGGACCAGCAAATTAAGTTAGGGGTAAAGACTCGGTCTGCGTCTAAACTACATTCAATGTCTGCAAAGACTAGCAGGGGTTTGGGGGGCGGTCCTTTCTTGTCATTGTTTTCATTGTCGTCCTCTGCAAAAGATTCTTCTAACAGGTCTTCTTCTTCTTCTACCTCTAAGGTTTGTTGTTACTGTTTCTTTCTCGGATGGGCTGGATATAACATCGATGGTTTACATGCTGAAATTCTCCACAGTTTCTACAAACCACATGGAAGCATTTATGCGGTTTTTGGGGGTTTACAGCCTACCCTGCGCAACATAGGTGGCAGGTTTTCCACGTTTCGCAGATGCTTTTTTCCCTTTTTTTCTTGCTTTTGGCTTTATGGGCCCGAAAACAATCTTGACCGTAAAACCAACCATTACAACCAGGACAATACACGCTGGGCTTCACCCAGGTGACGAAATTGGGGCAGCTGTTACTGGTAACGCAACATGCATCACAGTTCTGGCCCTCACAGCTATGATGAGAACTATCCTCGGTGCTGTAGCCATGGTCGCAGTGGCGGCAATAATAACTTCTGTTAAGAAGGGCTGGGATGCTGGTTAAGCCGTCATAATGCCCTTGGTACTTTACTTAACCGATCCAATGGGGTGCCTCATTGTATATGGGGTCCTTAAACACAATGAGACATTTACTTGGCTCTGCTACGATGAGTTGGTACCCGTGTGGGCCTAGATGGTCTTGGAATGCTTGAAGTTCTTCGAACCCACGGGGGCCCTCTGGAACACCCGCCTCTTGATGTAACAGCCGAGCCAAACGTTCTTCGATGAGTTTTCCTTT